GTATGCTTTGAGAGCAAATCAAAAGATTTATGCTTTAATGAAGTTAGGATGTTGCTTACTTTCGCTCAAAGAAGGTAAACCGATGGGAGTGAAGAGTTTACAAAACGATGAGAGTCGAGAAAACGATATGGCATCGTGAAGCTTGTTTGAAACCGTCTTTTTCGAGCTTCTAGGATTCATCTGCGACATTGGACTCCTCACAGAATATAGCAATACAGGAATATTTGTGTACTCATCTGCAATCGTCTCTAGGAAATCTGCTGCAACAGCTGAAAATCCTCCTGAATCATCCACAAGGAACTTAATACCCTGTCATTATCGAAATTTCGATTTGTTTGTCAATACATACTATTTTTAACAAGTAAAAGAAGTTGGAAAAAAAGTAACACCGTTTAAGCTTAACCTGAATATGATCACACTCTTCCACGAAAAAACGGAGCCTGTCGCATAATTCCTCTCCCCGTGAAGCCTCAGAGAAAACGTCCTTACCAATTCCGTAATTGTTAAAATCCTGAGAGTCCGTCCATAATCCGCTCAACTCGTATAGACTTTGAGGATGATAATGGGATTTGGAGAAGTCAGTCCAACACTCAACTTCCTCATCTAAGCATCCAACAATATCTTTGTCCTCAATCTCTCTCGCTTTTTCTTTCCCTACTTTATCTTCTTCCTCATACAAACTTTGCAGAAACAAGTTCCTCTTTCGAGGTTCAGATCTTTGAGTATCAACATCTCCAACCCTACAAGACCCAAAATAGATATGTTCATCAGTTTCATATGCACTAAGATCTTAATCACTGAGATTGAACACAATGTTCAAGAAATATCTAACCAAAGTAGCATTTTCTAACCAGGTTTTCGAAGAATCTGATCGTGATGAAGAGCCTTCATTGTAGAGTGTACCGCGTGCGCTCATAGAGCCTAGTGACCCTGAAAGATGATAAATAGCATGGATACATAGAACCACCATCAACAAAACCAAATGCAGAACCTTGCTCTGTCATTGGAGTCCAATAACCGTAAAACTAAGCAATTTGAAATCTACATTAACTGTATAGAAGCTAGATCTTCTAATCAAGAGCAAAAGCTAAGATCATTTACCTTTGAAGTTGACTGAAACAAGACGAGGAGTGTACGTAGAAACCCCCTGTACAAATTTCCACTTTATACTTTGAGATTTACACAAATTGATATTAAAAGTCAATGAAAAATCTCAAAATCTGACCTGCTGGGTTTCACCGGAGCGGTAAAGAACGTCCATGTCGAGGTTATGGTTTCGAAAGACTGGATCGCTTTCTGGGTCACTCGCCAATCCAAGCAATTCATCCTTAACATATTCAAATCAAAAAGTCATCAACTTTAAGCAAAAGACCAAGACTTTTTTTGGAGATAAACGAAACCCAGAATCCATTTGCTACTAACCTGGAAATTCCAGAAGTGGGAACCGATAAAGTTTGCGAATTCACCAACTTGAATCGTCACGATTTCTCTCATCGTTTTCTCTGAATTTGGAAATAAAAGGTCGGTTCTTTAGCTCAATGCATAAGAGCTTCGGTGATTGCTTAAACCCTTAAAATCTCTCCGAGCTAGAATCGAAAAGGGTTTTGTGATTTGACCCCCAAAAAAAGAGAAAAATGTGTTATTTTGATGAAGATGAAGATGGGGCTCACGAGGCCCAGACCAGAAAGTAAACCACA